CTACGGGAAAGTAACTGTAATCTAATTACCTTTTTTGCAATAGTAATCCCTTACTTTACTCGTTACTTGAAAAAAGTAATCTGATTACAGTAACGCATTACTTGCAACGCGTTACTGCCCATCTCTGCAGACGAGGGCCCTCAGTCATGAGGGATGCTCTGTGCATAGCCACATGGCCAGTGGCGTTTGATGCCCCTGCAGCTCCGTTGTTCCACTGAAGGAAAAAGCACCCCAGACCATGATGGTGCCCCCCCCCCCCCCCACTGTGGGCGTAGAAAACACCTCAGGTGGGATCTGCTTATCATGCCAGTAACTCTGGAAACCATCAGGACCATCAAGGTTACATTTGCTCTCATTGGAGAATAAAACTTTCCTCCACCTTTCAGCGTCCGATGTTTGGTCCAAGCGGTCATTTCTGTGGTGTCCAAGGAGACGAGGCCTTTGAAGGCGTTTTTTGTTTTTTAAGGCCCTTCAGTCTCAGATGTCGTCTGATGGTTGCTGGCTGCAGTCGGCTCCAGTAACGGCATTGATTTGTGTTGAGAATCGTCCAGTGTCTTTACGGACAGCCAGTTGGCTCCTCCGGCTCAGTGCTGGTGACATGTTTGGGGTTTTCCACTTGACTTTTTTGTTCCATAACCTTCAGGATCATTTAAGGAATTCCAAATGACCTTCTTACTGCGTCCCCCCTCAGCTGCTTATGCAATTCGACAAACCGACCACGTTCAAAAACAAAACTTTTTTTGCCTTTGCCGTCAGAACGTCATGACAGTGACACCACCTGACAGAAAATGACAATGAATCCACAGTTTTGCACAGATTTGTCTTTTTTCCGGCCTGAACTTTGGATGAGCTGTAAAACAGTCTCAGTTTAAGTTTGTTTTGATTTTAAACTTTTGATCAGGGCTGAAACTCAAAGTATATTTTCATGATTTTCTATAACACAGGCTTCACCTCCGCCAACTGGAATTCCTGAGCTGGACCTCTGGACTGTGTCTGTACTGCTGGATGTTTCCTAACACTAACTAGCTGTTACTTGTGTCTGTGTGATGCTTTTATGTGCTCTGTGAACCTAGTTTGATAACAAAGCTAGCATTAGCTGATAACACTTCAGAAAACCAACAAGACTTAAAGCTAAAGTCCAGAATTAAAAATATTTATATACAGTCTTCTGTCTGGTCAGTAGTGCAGCTTGATGCATTAACTTGGTCTGGACTGCGACTGATTTGGGAACAAAAGAAAATGACAGTGGGTCCTCTAAGCTAGCCAGTAATGCTCAAGCTTCTTCTCAAAGGGGTATCCTTCGGACACAGCAATGGTACCACCTATTTACATTAGTCTAGATTGTATATCACCTGACATGGCTGCATATCTATCTTCTAATAACATTTATGAAAGTGATGGCCTTACCTGAACAGGTGAGATCAAGGATAGAGGAGGAGGACCATGATATTGCACACTCCCTCAGAGGAGATCCAGACTGAACACAGTCAGGGTTGATCCTCCAAACAGATCCATATGACTTAAATATCAGTCCTACAGAAACAGCAGAGCCACAGTCCAGATGTTCACAGACAACAGCTGCTGGTTTCATGGTCCAACCATTGTCATCCACTGGTCTCCATTCTCCCAGGTGTTTCACCTCCAGTGTACCTGCACAGCGACTGGCTCTTCCCACCAACCTGACTCATCAGGCTCTGAACAGAAAGCAGAGAGTCATCAGTGAGAGAACAAAGTGAGTTTGAGCCCAAGCTGCAGCTCCTCTTCTACCTGAGCAGGTGAGTCCAGCAGCTTTGCCAGGTGAGCAGCTGCTTCTAGCTGAGCCTGAGCTTCGACAGTCCAGGAGAGCAGACTCATGGCCTCCACACTGGAACTCTCTGCTCCACACTGGAGCCTCCGCTTCCCCATAGAGCGCCCCCTGGAGGAGCGAAGGAGGCCCACAGCCAAGCTCCCTGCAGACCACCTCTGCATCCTGCAGGTCAAAGTCAGCTTCACACACTGAGGACCATCTCTGGCTAGACTTCACCTGCAGTCCCCCTGAACACAGACTGGAACCGTTCAGCAGCCTGACAGAGTCTGCAGAGATCAGAGACGCAGACACACAAGACAACGATGGCAGCAAACAACTATTCACTCATTCAGACTCACAACTCCAACATGAGTTCATCATTAACAACAGAATGTTATAGCAGCGCACACTGGGCTCATGTCAGCATCACGCTTAGATTTTGTACGCAGATTTTTGAATAAAGCTTTGATTAGAAAATGTTCCAAAGCTATCGAAAGGAGCAGGGCTGAGTACCCAGGGGAAAGAGGCCATGTGACCATGTTTCTCTGGCCTCCTCTCATACACTACACAGCTCTTTCTCCTCTTGAGCTCATGATGAACAGGTTTCTATACAGAAACAGGATTGTGGCAGTCTGCACGTTACAGGTTGAGGCTGATTTCGAATGATACCGATTCACTGACATAAACATGGAGCTACGAAGAAGTTTAAGTTTAATAAACTCCTACAGTGATCTTGCATGGACACTTTTTCAAATTCTTTTTGGCCTTTTACTTAGACAGTGAAGAGCAGACAGAGAGAGAGGGAACAACCCCTTTCCCCCATTCATTCAATATATTTTTGGTTTTCTTTAACGAAACTTTGCTGTGTCTGGTCTCATCATTCACACCATCTGGGCTCCACAGCACTTTTCCTTCAGTCAGTTAAATTCACCCACTGCAGTAAAACTAGCCCTTAAATAACTTTGTGTTACATGTGGCGAGTCGGCCTGATGTGTGAATGAATGGGTTTTGTGTTATTTAATTGGGTATTTTCTGTGTTTTGAAAGGTCTGCGACCAAAAAAACATGAAGTTTATTAAGAAAAGTGGTGTCAATGTTGCACATCCTGTCATTGTTTCAAAAGATTTCACCTGGCTGTGAAAAATGAAAAAAAGAACAAGCTAAAAAGACCAAGTCAAACAGTAAAAACTGGAAACCAGCAGCTCAGAAACCCTTCAAGCTGAAGAGGGAGCACCGACATGCTGGTTGGTGATTGGTCCAGAGAACTCCTGAAGTCCTGCTGGACAAAGTCGCTGCACTTACCTAAACAGGTGAGATTGAGGATGGTGGTAGAGGGTAACAGTCGTAAACAGTCCCCCAACTTAGATCCGGACTGAAAGCAGTCAGGTCTGATCGACCATACGAATCTCCGTGGGGACTTTCTCTCTTGTACAGAAACAGCAGAGCCACAGTCCAGATGTTCACAGACCACAGCTGCTTTCTTCAGGGTCCAGTTATAGAAGTCTACTGGTCTCCATTTTCTCACGTGCTTCATCTCCAGTGTACCTCCACAGTGACTGGCTTTTCCCACCAACCTGACTTCATCAGGCTCTGAACAGGAAGCAGAGTCATCAGTAAAGAAGGTCAAACGTTGCTGCTGATTCTGCGTTTGTGATTATTTATTTCTCTTTGACTCCGTTTACCTGCTGAACTCTGATTTCTCTCACTGATTCCTGAGGAGAAAATCAGAGAAGAGCCATTGATAAAAGTAACGCGTTACTGTAATCCGATTACTTTTTTGAAGTAACGAGCAATGTAAGGGATTTCTATTGCAAACAAGTAATTAGATTACTGTTACTTTCGCATAAGCACGCTGCGTTACTGCGTTACTAAACCGTGATCAACAATGGATAATATGGAGCGATGGAGAGAGTACGGCTGTGCAGCGTTTAAAGCTTGGAAGTACTCACATTACTTTGAGTTTGACCCTGTAAAAGTGACACAAACATTAGCGTCCGCTGTTCCCTGCGTGGGAAGAAAACTTCTTTTTACAGCGAAAACCCCCTAAACATCCGAGCAAGCACCGAGTAGCTGCCAGGGAGAAGGATCCAGCTTCTATGCAAGGGGAGGGAGGGTCTAACAAATGCTGTGCCTTTAAAGTTATGTTTTTATTATACTTGTTATACATTCCAGCCACCCATGTCTATGAACTATATAAGAAAAATGTGGAAACTTCTTCACAAATAAAATTTTAACCATTAGACAAAAAAGGACTCATAAATTATCTCACGTAATCAACGAGAGCGTGATGTAGACACAGTCTGCAGCTCTCGCTGAAACCTCCGGCACATTCTCACTCACAGAAACACATCTGTGGCAGTGATGCACAAGCTAACCACACAAGGTAAACACGCCCACAGCACAGAAAGGAAGTGTCATGAGACGATCTCACACCTCGAGTTTTTTCTTACATTTAGTTTGGTGCTCTTCACATACTTAAATAATCAGGCCCCATCTTATCTTAATGACCCTGTAGTACCATATCACCCTATTAGAGCACTTCGCTCTCGCTCTGCAGGCCTACTTGTTGTTCCTAGAGTATTTAAAAGTAGAATGGGAGGCAGAGCCTTCAGCTTCTGGAGAACCAGCTTGGATTCAGGAGACACTATCTCTACTTTCAAGATTAGGCTTCAAACTTTCTTTTTGCTAAAGCATATAGTTAGGGCTGGACCAGGTGACCCTGAATCCTCCCTTAGTTATGCTGCAATAGACGTAGCCTGCCGGGGGATTCCCATGATGCATTGAGTTTTTCCTTTCCAGTCACCTTTCTCACTCACTATGTGTTAACAGACCTCTTGTAACAGCAGTCTGGCGAGGAAGGAGCGACTAGCAGGTCCAGCAAGCGTGTGGTGTGGGGGTTAGCTGAATAACCCGAAGCCAGTCGGTTAAATCAAACAACAGACCTTTATTCATTATCAGCAACATAAGACCATACAAGCCAGGTCTCCACGGCTCTACTCTGTCCGTACATACATGTGCGGGGTTCGGCGCCAGGCCGTTACAACAGTAAGGTGTTTCCTCGGAGACTGGAACATGAGCAGCATGGAATGGCTGCCGCTAACAACACCACACCCACTAGGAGACTCCAACAACTACTACAATAGTAGGGCAACCCCCCCTAGTAGTGCTATAACCCAAAAGGGTTGTTACGCTCTCTGCACTGAATCATATCTGTTATTAACCTCTGTCTCTCTTACACAGCATGTCTTTGTCTTCCTTCTCTCACCCCAACCAATCACAGCAGATGCCCCGCCCCTCCCTGAGCCTGGTTCTGCTGGAGGTTTCTTCCTGTTAAAAGGGAGTTTTTCCTTCCCACTGTCGCCAAAGTGCTGCTCATAGTGGGTCATATGATTGCTGGGTTTCTCTCTGTGTGTGTTATTGTAGGGTCGACCTGACAATATGAAGACCTTGAGCCGACTGTTGTTGTGATTTAGAGCTGTATAAATAAACTTGAATCTTTTCTGTGTCCGCTCCGTTCATCTTAGCATTTGTGTTTTCACTTCGTGTTTTTGTTGAATAGTGAGGCAGCACGTAGACTGGAGAGACTTGAGTTCAGTGACGTAAACACTGGTCTTTTATTTGAGTGGGAGTATCCTGTCAGAGTGTGTGCAGGATTTCAAACTACTGTGTGGTTTCGATCTTGAAGAATTAAAAGTTGATGATGTGTTGACTGTTTTAAACTTGAGAGTTTTCTCTTTTTCTTTCCTTCGATGTGATTTTCATTTACGCTCTAAATAAAGCTCACAGCCCATCTTTTAACAGATTTAACTGAACATCTTCCATCCATCCATACTCTGTCATTTATCCAGTTCAGGGTCAATGCGGGGGTGGAGCCTATCCCAGCCATAGGGCAAGAGGCGGGGTACATCCTGGACAGGTCACCAGCCTGGCGCAGGGCTAACACAGAGAGACAGACAACTGTTCGCACTCACATTCACACCGATGGGCAATTTAGAATCACCCATTAACCTAACCCCACTAACTGCATGTCTGTGGACTGTGGGAGGAAGGGAGGGAACCCACGCAGCACTGTGCATCTTCTTTATGTGGGTTGTCCAGAATAGCTCAGGATAACAACTACCTCTAAACCTGGACGTTAACATATGCATTCACATTTTTCTCAAAGCATTAAAGAGGAAGCTTTAATCAGTAAATCTAAATATTTACTGCAACTCGTGTTGTTAAAGCCGAGTCCTACCTGAGCTCCACAGCAGCAGCAGCAGCAACAGGTGATCCATGTCCAGGCCAACGTGTCTCTGATCTGATCGTCACATGTGCCGTGCTCGCCGTATATCTGCAACAGGAAGAGGGGGAGCTTCACTCCTCTCTCTCTATGTTAGAGAATTGTGGATTAATATAGTTGTCATTGTGCAGGGAGGCCAAGATGAGCAGATTTGTTTTCAGCTTTTAGTCGTTTTCCATTGCAAGCGTTTGGTTTTTAGATTTAGCACGAAAACCTTTGTTTTTACACCTGGTTGGTTGAAAGGTTGCGCCATGTATGGTGTAGCAGGAAATGTCACACACACGCACACACACGCACACACACACACACACACACGCACACACACACACACACACACACGCACATGCACACGCACACACACTAACACACACACACACACACACACACACACACACACACACACCACACACAGCACACCGACACACACACACACACCACACGACACACAACACCCCGCACACACACACACACACACACACAACCACACACACACACGCACACAAAAACGCACCGCACACACCGCACACAGCACACGCACACACACACACACACACACACACACACACACTTACATGTGAGTGCATGAACTGTCATATGACTAATGAGATGTATGTGTAACTGCTGTGAGGGGAGGCTTGAGTACAGAGTTGGCTGAGATCAGGTGAAGAGCTTACGAATCGAAGACCCTGTCTGGGCTCCCCTTGCAAGCAAAATCTTGAAGCGCTTTGTGTTTTGCTTTGTTCACAGTCGGATGGTCTCAGAGTCAGCAGCGTCTCTGTAAGACCCCACACTCTATTTGGCAGTTTTGGTTACGCAGAGAACCATCTTTCAGTTTAAAAACTATATTTCTATCTGTAAGCTCGGTTATTTCTGCCTCTCGGTGTCAAATACGAACATCTGAGGGACTCATCATCTGTTAGCCTGAGTGAAAATCCAGCTCTGTTGAAGTGCCACGGACACCCAGAGAAACTGTGTCAACGGCGGTTTTATTCCATATTCATCCAGCCTGTTTTAAGCGTGGACACTGAAGCCTGCAGAGGCTTTGATGGTGCCCTCATCTCTGAGCACTGGTCACCTGATCCTGGGGTAAATTTGCTGGGACGTCCACTCCAGAGAAGATTCACAGTCATCTTGAATGTTTTCCTCTTGTTAATTCGTGTTAGTTTCTCAGACAGTGCTTGGGGTGGTTGCCTCTTGCTTTCGGGATTGGTGGGGGTCTGGGAGTGAGAGACTAGTTGAGGCTGCTTATCTTGCACCTTTGGGGTCACCCGTGGCATCTGGGTTGTGTTGGCCAGTGCCCTGCTTGGGATTCGGGTTGGTTCGTTGTGCCTTGGCTTCTGCGGTGTGCCGGGCCCTTCTCTCTGGGTGCCCTTACTATGTCTGTGGGGCTGGGACGTGCTGACTGGCTCTCTGTGGGGGCTTTGGACACTGGCGCAGACTTTCATGCATGTTTATCACACGGCACCCTGGTGCTCAGCTTCATGGTCTTTGCTACATGTCATTACCAGATGTGCAGCAGATGTGGGCGTCTGTCAGTGAGGTATAACCTGCGTCCTGCAGGTTCAGAGGGTCGAGGCTTTATTCTTCACTTTATAAAACGTTTTTCTCCATTAAAGTTGAAGTTGGGACTTTGTGTTCTTGATGTTTGCATTTCTGGAAAATGCAGCAGCAAACTTTGATCTGATATAAATCAGCTGCGCGTTAGAGGTGAGAGATGTGTGGTTGTGTTTCCATGACGAACAGGATGGACCGAGCAGGTCTTATCAGATTCATGCCGGCAGCTTCCTCTCATCGTTTCTGCTGTACGTGAAAACACACACTGAGTTACAGCTGCTGCCTATCATTATGTTAACTGCACATAAAGCTCTTCCTCACATGTCAATGGGTTTTTTTGGACACCACTCAGACAGCCAGCAATTCAAGGAGAACGTGCGGCTCAACATGTCACTCCTGGTCTGATTGGGGAGGGAACCAGCGAAAACGTGGAACTGGGTGTTAACAGACCTCTCTGCATTGAATCATATCTGTTATTAATCTCTGTCTCTCTTCCACAGCATGTCTTTATCCTGTCTTCCTTCTCTCACCCCAACCAATCACAGCAGATGGCCCCGCCCCTCCCTGAGCCTGGTTCTGCTGGAGGTTTCTTCCTGTTAAAAGGGAGTTTTTCCTTCCCACTGTCGCCAAAGTGCTGCTTATAGGGGGTCATATGATTGTTGGGGTTGTTTGGTCTCTTCCTTACGATATAAAGTACCTGGTGATGGATGCTGTTATTTGGCGATAAATGAATAAAATCAAGTTAAGTCAGCTTTATTTATATCGCAAACTTAAAAGACATCAAGTGTCAGCAAAAGAAAGAAGTAAAATAAATGAGGTAAAAAACAAACTATTACAAAACGTGCATATATATATACACAGAGACAAACAGACCACTTAGATCAGCGAGGACATAGTGTGATTGAACTGACATCGATCAGCCTTCCCGTCTCTGTCACACATAACCTGTGTGTGTCCGACTTTTACTCTACATGTTGCAACATTTAGACGCCATATAAAAGGTTAAAAACTAAGATTTGTATTCAGATCTTTACCTTAATACATCATAATGTGACAAAGACAGTCACAAATGAAAACACAACTCTGGATTTGGTTAAAACAACATCAGAGTCTTAACATAGACCCTGTAACCACAAAAACCATGACATCAGTAAATCCAGTTACCTATGCACATCTGAAAATGGAGTCTGAATCAGAAGTCACACCCTTAGATGGGGCACATCAGCTCATCTCCTTTAGTTCCTCTTACAGTGTTTCCACATGAGAACAGCGAGCAATAAAAAAGAAGAAGAAATCTGATTAAAGCTGTGGGCAGGAAAAGAAAGGCCAGAAAAACAGCTCCGAAGAGAGCACGGCTTCCTCTCTTGTGACATTCAAGGTGTCTTCATATTATTATTGTTTCTTCATAAAAGGTTTTGACACTTTTTTTGCAGAGCAGGTCATCTACTAATGGGAAGGTTGGTAGTTTGATCCCTGGGTCCTCCTCCAGCATGCCTCGGGCAAGATCCCATGAATGAGCTCAGTTTACATGCATTCAGTTAGTGGTGCAGAAAATGTAGAAGATTGTTAGGTAGATGTCGAGCTCGAGGCCTGCGGGCCACATGCGGCCCGGACCCCTGAGATCCTTAGCTGCCTTACCAAACGACAGGCCAGCCGTCATCATTCCCACATCGATGACGTCAGTTTAGTGACGCCTCTATTCATGTATTCAACCTTAATTTCAAGTCAGAACGAGCCGTTAGCGATGGCCACGAGACAAGTTGATTCTGAAAACAGAGCCTTTCGGACCCAGCGGCAGGTTTATTACATGCTGACTGAAACCTGCGTGTCTTACACGTGGAGCTAAACTCGAGGGTTGAAGAGGAAGCTGACGTCACCACAGCCGTGACAGTTTCATTGTGGCAGAGGAGCCACGAGCTGCATGACGAACGTGAGTCCAGACAAAAAGACAGCGTTTGAAATCTCTCAGACTCGTACTCCCGACTGCTTCGATTTATAGTGATGTTAGAAGAACGTTTAGTTTTGGTCGGTTCAGTAAATGTTTATCGTGTTCGGCCCGTGGCCTAAAGCGTCCTTTGAGTGTGTTGTGGTTTATCTGACCAATAACGCGGCTCTTTATCGTCACGCCAACCACATCCGTGGTTATCAGCAGTTCTTCTTTCTGTGTAAGAGCAGAGAGGAAGTAGTGTGGTACACGTTAGACATCGAGGAGAGTTGAGGGTGAGTGTGTCTGTGTGTGTTTGTTGCAGAAAAACATGCTTTTCCATATTTGAATGTTCAGCATAGAGATGGCAGCTGTTCAGCTGGGTTGGTGTCAGTGCACTGTGCTAACGATCAAGCTTTTAACATCGTTTTCTTCAATGCGATACTTGAAAGTCAGCAGCTCCTTTAAATGTGCAGCTAATATTAATAGTAATCACTCTCCTCTTTGTCAAAATGATTTTTTAATTATTATATAATTATAATAAAGAATATTAATGTGGATGATCTCTGTCCAAACCCAGAGAAAGATGAGTGGAGTGACCTCATTCAACAACAGCTCTTCATTTTCCAATGAGACAGAAAGCTGTAATCCAGTCACCACCGTGTCCCATCTCTTCTTCATACCCATCCTTAGTTTGGTGTTTCTGGTGAGTTTCAGTGACTCAGATCAGCGTATTGCTCTCAACAACTACTTAAGGTCATTTACATTTTAGAAATTTCTTCAAATTTCAGCAAGAAAGTGTCACAGTCCTTAGTCTTAGATCCAAGTGTAACACAAAAGACTTCAGGAGCGGCGAGTGTGGGCGGGCACAGTGCAGACACATCTGTGTTACAACCAGTGTTGGTCAAGTTACTTGAAAAAAGTAATCAGTAACTAATTACTGATTACTTCCCCAAAAAAGTAATCCCGTTACTTTACTGATTACTTATTTTCAAAAGTAATTAATTTCTTAGTTACTTAGTTACTTTTTAAAAACACGATTTACAACCTGAAGAGGTG